AACAAGTGCCTTACTAGTAGTAACAAGTGCCTTACTAGTAGTAACAATGTTCGCTATTAGAAACAATAAGAAGCTATTATTGAAGACAGGAGACTGACGGACGGACGACAGGGACGAGGAAGGAGACGGAAAGAGACAGGCAGGACGGACAGTCTTCTTGTCCTTCCCTCTGTCATCTGTCGTGCGCCTAACTTGTCCAAAGATGATCTGGTGCTTCTTTGCCTTGCTCCCTTGCTATCAAAAGTAAGCTACCACTGGCTGAAAAAACAAAAACTCCTGCCTGCCATTAGAGGCAACCGGCTAGGCCGAGACATCTTGCTAACCACCTTGGTGCAGATCAATGCAAAAAGCAAGTTGAGCTAAGGAAGTCGCAAGAGTCACACGAGTACAAGACTTCCACAAATCTTGGAAGTCACAACAGCGCCTCAAGTACCTTCCTTGTGCATTCAATGACAATGCTGTGAAGGGAGTTTCAAGAAATCATACAACTAAGGATTCGCACAGCCATGACGGATTCTCCGCGCCGAGGAAGCAAAAGCAAGCGGGAAGCTAAGGAAAGTCTTCTATTGAGCCGCAAAGGTCGGGCACAATGAGGTCGTTCTCTTAATAGCTTTGTTTGTGTCTGAACCCTTCGGGTCTCTTCTGAACATTGATTGTTCAGTTCGTATCCCGTCCAAACCTTGACGGGTGTTCTGAAGAACCGTCATCAACTGTTCAACCAAGTGCGCACCTGGCAAAAGGCTGGTAGGCTACCCCTATGAAACTTCTTTGGAGCATTTCCTGCCAACTGCCGAGCTGCGTCAGTCGACCCAGTGATGCCTCGCCGTTCCTTCTCGGTTTCATGCACTTGAAGCCGACCAAAAAGTCCTGGTTTGACGCAGCATCTCATGGGTTCCGCCTAGTTTTCCTAGTTTATCTAGTCTAGTGGCTGGCTTTCGCTTGTTCAGTTAAAGAAAAGGGTTCGCCAAACTCGGCAAAATTAATATGGCCAACATCGCCAAACTCTGGGAAGGTTCATGTACTACATGCAGTGTAGCATTTGCTAATTCTTCGCTAACTTGTAGCCTTTGTGGCCAATGATGCAGCACGATGTGCTGGTTAAGGTGTGTGGACAGGCTGCTTGGTCTATGTCTGTGCTGAGGAGCTTGGGGGGTGTTGGCACATTGGATCTCATGCCAAAGGCAGTGGAGCAAGGATGACACAATGGCACAGTATGTTGAGTGGGTGACACATGAACTCAGTGAGGCCTTGTGCGCAAGAGGTGCCATGTTCACATTCCCAAGGAATTCACAAACATCAACAAAAGCAAATGTGACAGGTTTTGCACCTACTACTCCACATCCCACTCCTCTAGGGATGCTTGGGCCAGCAACGGTTGCCCACCGGTGGCGGCTTCAAAGGCTGCCTGCAAATCTCGCCACGATGGCAAGCACCCGCCAATGTTCGTCAGTTAGCTGCAAAGCTTTTGGGAACGTTGTGCGACTTCTGGAAACCTGGATCTTGTCCGCAGTCCGCCCTCACCACGCCCCAGCTAAATGAATGTGCCATGGATGTGTGTGATCCAGAATGTGCCCACACCTGCAAGAAGACGGAGGTGGGATCAGACATGTTTTTCATTTTGGAGGCAGGTTCAAGCCGTTCGCTGGACCCCACCCTGCCTTGATCTGCCTCTCGAGAAGCTGCCAGTAGTATCTTCGTGATTTGTTGTTCACCTCACGAAACTTTTCTTCAGAAAAGGAGAGAAGTGACGATGGCCAAACGAAACGAACACACAGCGGGGTGTTTGGGCTTCGTATTTTGACGCCAAACATCTGGCAAAAGGATCATCAAAATCCAACCATAAAAAATGTGCAAATATTATATACATATATATATATATATGTGTGTATGTGTGTATGTATGTATGTATGTATGTATGTATGTATGTATGTATGTATGTATGTATGTATGTATGTACTTTTTTTTCTCCTGAAGTTGGATGCATGAAGGCTCAGTGGCCGGTTCAGCTTGGCACGGATGGCCTCAGATACCTTGCCGTGGCTCAGAAGAAGTCGACTTGGATCTCAGGGTCACAGGTGCGTTCTGCTTCTTCTTCGGCTTCTTCATTGCTGCACATCTCTGCATCTTCAGGTGGCGGAGATGCTGAGAATTTGAGCTTCTTGGGCACCGGTGGAGACAGAGTCTCCGGACCCTGTGGTGCATGTGCTAGATGCTCTGGCTGTGGCTGGGTATCATGGCCAGAGTGTTGGCCTGCGTTGGCCGGTGTGTTGGCGGCAGCAGAGCTGTGTGTGGCCTCTGGGGGCGAGGGCTCCGCCTGGCTGGAAGGGCTTGCCTGGCTGAAAAAGTGTGCCAGAGCGGGTGAGGTCGGTTTGTGACCTTTGCACTCCTTTTGGAGCCCCTTCGTGAGAATCAGGCGGTCGTGAGCATCAAGGTGGGTGTGCAACCCGCACCCTTTGCATTGGATGCCTTTGCCAATCTGCCACAATGTGTGTGTCCCATGGGCGGAATGCTCTTGGTTGAAGGGAGCATCAATGCAGGCGCTGTTCAGGAATTGGTTGAACAGGTCTTCATTGGCCCTTTTGTGGATGGCTTGGCTGCATTTGGTGCACTTCAAGTAACCTGTCGTCTCCTGAAGATGGTGAACATCAGGAGTGGTTGGATGTTCTTGCTGGATCTGAAGCAGGGATGCAATGCGGCTGGCTCTGGTGAGTTTCTTTCCAACTCCCCGCTCAGGTGGGAGGTCAGGTTCCGGGGCAATTGCTGTGAGTGGTGCACAGTCTTCCTGAAGCCGTTCTTCGATCATGGAAGCGGCGAGGCCTTGGTGCACCCGCGTTTGGCAGGTGTGGCACTGGTAGCCGCTGCGGTGGGCCTTCCATTGATGTTTGCCCGGTTGCCAGGGTTGCTGGCATTGTGCTATGAGGGTCTTTTTCCTCTGCTTTGTTTTGTGGCCGACTGCGCGGCCTGGCTTGGTGTGCAAGTAGTGATCCTTGTCGTCATAGATTTTGGCCAGACGTGCAGCCGCATGCTTGTAGATCTCGAGGTGGTCTTGGTCGAGGATGCTCTGCCAGGCTTCTTTGTCTGGACTGTGGATGCTGCTGGCGCGTTCCCATGCCGCTAGGGCTGCATCCCTTTGTCTCTGTCGTAGGTGTGGTTCGTTTCCTGGAGCATCTGGGGTCTTGTGGTTTTTGTGGATGTATAGGGGCGTGATCAGAGTGAAGTACTCTGCTGGTTGCCCCTGGACCAGGTCGTGGAATCCTTTCCTCTTGGCCGGGTTGGTCCAGGCTTCCCAAGCCGAGCTGACCTGGACAATCACCCTGGTTGGCGTCTGGATGAACTGAGCCAGGGTGAGGAGCCCTTGAAAGATGGCTCTGGCCTTTGACTGGGGCCCTCTCGCCATGCCCGTGATAGTCCCTTTCCTTGGTAGGGCTCCAAGCGAATAGCCGTGGATGCAGAGTGCGAAGATCCAGGCCTGGGATCTTTTGTCGCCGGAGGTGGGAGTGGCATCAACTGTGACAGATAGCCCTTGCCACGGTTGGAGTGGTAGAGGTTCGAGGGACTGCCAACAGCCATGCCCTTCCAGTGCAAGGGGTCGTTGGAGGTGGTCTTGTGGCTCCTTAGGGGTCCATCCGTAGGCCCAGAGTGGTTCCTCCAATGGATCGTGTAGCCGCTCGGTCCAAGGCACTGGGAGAGGCTGGTGCTTTTGGTTGTGATGCCACTTGCATAGCCACACGATGTGTTTGGGCGTTGCTGGGACCTGGCATAGGGGGCACTGCTGGGTGGCGGTATCGGCTTTGAACCGGATGGCCGCTTGGTTCCAGGTGCGGATGTGGTTGGCCTGGGCCTTGCTGATGTGCTTGGTGATTTTAGAAGCCGTGGTCCAGTCGATGCCGCTAACGAGACCTTGGCAGTTCCTTCTGTTGGCAAAACGATGTTGGCGCTGCTGTTTGGCCTCGGCTTGGAGCTGCTCTTCAACCTGCCACCAGGGTTGGCGAAGATCGATGTGGGCTTCTGTCATAAAGGCCGTCTCGTTCCTGTGCCAGTCATAAAGGCTGTCTGTGTGCCACCCCCATTCTTTGAGATATGCCAGTGTGGCGGCCATGGGCCCCTTGACATGGTACCAAGGGTATTGTTGTTGGCGAAGTTGGTTCTGCAGTTCCAGCCATGCCCGTTCGACATGTGGAAGGTGGTCGCTGGGCCAGTGAGCGATGAGGGCATGGATTGCCTGGACATGTTGGATGACCACTTGGTCTGCAGGATCCAGGTACTTGGTTTGGTTTTGGTCGTAGATGACATCCGTGAGTCCGCCTGTGTGGAGGCCCAAGTGGGTGGCAAGTGCTTGTCTAAGGGCTTGTCGGTAGCGAGGAGCGAGCCCTTGTCCTTCGACGCCCCACAAAGCAACCGGTTGGATGCCTCCGCGATGGAGCCGGAGTCGGGTGCGGAGATTGGGGAGCCTCAATGTGCGCAATTTGATGCGCCGCTGCTTGTTCTTCTTGAACCTATTCTGCAAAGTGGTGATGCGGCGTCTGCGACCGGCTTGGTGATCAATCCCGAGATCTCGCATCACTGACTGGATGGGTGGATCGTCGGGGCCAAGGAGTTTGGCCAGTGCCTTGTGGGTGGCTCTGTCTGTGGCAATGAAAGCCGTTTTGCTGTTGTTGACCTTGAGGCCGGACGCTAGGAGTTGTGCGCGGAGCTCATGCCAGGCCTGCACAATGCGGTTGGCTAGGGTGTCTGGATTGGGATGGCTGCCATCAAATCCAATGTCATCGACCCATCCGTTGAGGTGCAATTCTGGATGTTTGGCCTGAAAGGGGCTGAGGATTGGTTGTAGGAAGGCTTTAGCCAACAGCGGAGCTTGTGGGCAGCCTGCAGCAACCCCATGGGTGACATGGAACCAGTGGCTGAGCTCGGAGTCTGCCATCACTGCTTTGGGCCCTGTGTAGACCTGCATCGCGAACTCCAGTGCTAGTGGAGGGTAGTCCAGTGCTTGGGCTACGGACTGGAGCGTCTTGAGGTCGATGGTGTCGTAAAAGGTGCTCATGTCCAGAAGGACAGTGATGCCATGTTGCGCTAGGGTCTTGGTGCTTTCCTGGCGTAGGAGCCTCTCGAGTGCAACATGGAGTGCCGTTGCACCGGGGCGTGCGCGGTCGTAGTTCATAGAGTGTGGCAGATTGAGTTGCCAGCTGTCGAGAATGTTCTTGCGAAGCCGGCACCAAGTTCGGTAGAGGACACTGGTGAGGGTGATAGGTCGCTCTACCTAACCTTTTCGTTTTTGGCCAACATCACGACCAGGCTCATCTGGAGTTGGGTCGGCAAGGTGGCTGTGGTCTCCATGTCCTGAAGGATCTGGAGCAGGGTTGGTAAAGCCTGAGGTGGTGTGTTCCTCAGAAGCTGTGTGCTGATGGCATCTGGACCACACGCTCGGTCGGGTAGTTGTTTGAGAACCCGGGCAAGGTGGCCTATCGTGAGTGCCGGTAGTTGAGTAGCTTGATGTTGGGCGCTGGCCTG